TTATGCAAAAATTATTTTGGGGAAATCATTTTGAGCTTCTCAGAAATTATTTGAAAATCGTTTTACAGACAACATAAAGTAACGCCATCTTTAACATATGCGTGACCATCGTCAGTCGACCAGGCAAAGGTCATGAAACGTCTCTCGGAAAAAGTCTTGGTAATATTCACGCACAAAGTTCTAAATGTTAAAGTACTCACCCTGTTCTTTGTTTCAGGTCTAGTTTTACGGCAAAATGTAAAATGTTTCCCGTTGCCATCTGTTCAAATTTGCCATTCTATATTAAACTCTGTTTGAGACTCATAACCAACACGCATGCTTTCTAACGAAGTTCTCTCAGTAAACACGTAGCAAACCCTCACTTCCTTATCTGTCAACAACTTTTGTCTCAAAATGCTGCTAGACACCGCAGAAGGAAGCGCCAATCTGAAGGATAAAGCGCCCATGCGAACGTTTGTGACTCAGTATGTAAATTACTGTCAACAGTAATATCAGATTACAGCTGTCAAGATCCCGGGGCCCGGGGTCTGGATCCGCTAAAAGCAGGCGAAAAGCAAACGTACAACCTGGTATAATATAAAATTTTTGAAAATGAAGAATTTAATTGGTAGCCTCAATGAAGATTTTCATTGCTTCGAGACGTGGGCATTATCAAATCAACAGATGTCTTAACAAAAAATTGTGTACATGTTTTCTTCCCATCTTCACAGATGGAGTCCCAGTTGTTGGCTGCACGTGGGCAATCCTGGCCCGCACGTGCGGTATTTCAGAGTGCCTTCTTAATATATGACAAATGTAATTTCTGCTGTGCTAAATGCCACTTTTCGTGAATTGAAACAAACATTATTTGGGGGCGGCGGGCGAAGTACAAAAAAATATATATATATATTTAGTATATACACACTCAGTGATCTTGGTGATTTAAGCAATCTGATTGGTTCGCTATCTCGGACTATTCAACAATATTCACCTCCTAGCGAGTGGATAATGTGTGAGCTCGGTGTTCTTCCCGTTTTTTTTAGAGAACGATCTTTTAAAAGTCGACAAAATCCTAGGGCTGACTTTTTTTAAGGCAAGAAAAGACTTGGAAGGATTCAATACGGCGTTTTTCAATTTACTGTAGCAGGAGTTTTGTGCTCGATGGATTGTTTACAACTCCCGTGTATTCGCGTAGAAGAAGCCGTTTCGTGAACTCAGCGTTTTCTAAGAAGAAAATTTTGGCTCAAAAATCGAAGTTTATGTATGACAAACAAATTTAAAAGGAAATGTTTGCAGAAATTCTACATTTCAAGTAAACAGGAAAAAGAATGATACAGGAAGACGACCTCTTACCTCGAGCAACCGAGCCGCCATTTTTGTCAGCACTTCATGCGAAGAACGACACAACATGCCTTTGGCTATAAACTTGGCGAGTCAACAGAAAACAACACAGCTCTACTTTTTTTCTCAGGTAAGGAAACAGTTCAAACTTTCAGCGATTCCATTGAAGCCATTACGCTGTTGTTTGCGAAATGATTAAACTTGTGAATTGCCATGTTTGAAAATTCTGCAAAGATCTATTTTTAAACTTACGCGTGATTTGATCTGTCAATCAAATCCTACTTTTGAATGGTTTCCTTTCTGATTTTGTTGAGATCACTTCGTGTGTATATACTAAAACAATTATTCTTCTCAATCTCGGTGAATAGTGGCTTTGGGAATATTTACCTCGCCGCTTTCGCGGCTCGGTAAATATTTTGCCACTATTCACCTCGATTTCAAAGAATAATTGTTAAATATTCGCGCAAGGGAAAATTAAATGAAAAAAATTTATGCACGCCAATTAACCCTAAAAAATATTCATGCTACGGCCTCAAACTGAAATTCATGAAGGAATTTGATAACGAAAAAAATTTCCGCGGCACAAAAATTCCCCCCCCCCCATAACTCTTCTAATGGTCCGTCCCTAATAGATAAGATTTCTCTTCGTGATCCCCAGTGTCCTGCGTTCTTGTAACATTCTGCAAGCGCATCTGCTACTGAGCTTGAAATCAATGGCTTCGTCATTGGCCATTTCCCCACACGTTGGCTTGAATGAGGAACAAGTCAGTCGTTTGAAGTAAATGTAAAAAAAAAATAACATAAAATGAAACGACAACAACAAATGCCATCAGAACTGGACTTTGATCTTTAAATTTAAAAAAAATAATAAAAAAAAAAATATATATATATATATATTTACTCTGGGGGAAATCGGGTTTAATTTCAAACTAAGAGAAAAAGTGAAAGGTTTATTTTCTCGAACAGATTAGGTGGATTGGTACCGTACCCGGGAGACTCTGGGTTATCTAAGAGAGTTGACAACTATGATAAACTTTATACAGTATTCGTGGATTGAATCTAAGTGACTAATTAGAATATAATACAGTGAATAAACCAAGAGTACCTGAACCTGAAGGAATGAGGATACCGGTTTGTTGATAGATATATTCTGAAATGTTCTTCCTCTAACTCTTTTGTCGGCTTTAACAGGTTTCCCTCTTCTTTCAATTATGTGATTGGCGCTTTCCTGTGCAACTTGGCACGAACTGGAATAACTGTTCCGTCGCCATCCAATACCGAGCTCAGAACGATGGAAAGGGGATATATATATTAAAGGAACTTAGGGCGCTTTCCATTTGTCAGAACTGGCCTGCTGGACCTTTGCCTGAGTTTTGCCTAAAAACGTTCTCTTTCGAGCATACCATTGCGGATTTGACTGATCTAGCTGAAGAGTTTGATTAAAAGGGAAATTATCATTGCGACGGGAATGGTCTGGCTGGTCAGTTCTGAGCTAAAATAAAGTCTGTTTCGCTTTCAATACCAGAAAGAGACCATGTCAACCTATGCCCAGTTACGTCCTTAATAGTTTGACAGCGAAAAGGAACAATCTCAGTTGATCTCTGCTTATCCCTTCTATCAAACGAACACAGAGTACCTACTAGTGACTCGAAGGAGCACGAACCTTCCATAGCTTCATCGAAGAAGAGCGCACACAAACAGTGTTTTTGCAAAGATCTTTTTTCTTTTTCAAGTGGGAATGAACGGTTGAATCAAAATAAACTAAATTTAATTCGATAATGTTAATCAAATGCCTAAAATGTCAACATATTAAAGACAACTCTCAGGTAAAATAATGTCAACTGCAGTATTTTTGAAGAAGGAGGAGTTTAAAAGATGAATCTTCTTCAGTGTACTGGAAGTAACGGGTGAAAGTCGGTGAAGCTCGTAACGTGTATACTCGGCACCGGAAGTAGACCCTTGGCACACTCCTATGCAAATCAGATTACCTTGAAGTGAACGGATCCACGAGCAACTTCGCTTTGTTGACAGTTAAATTACCGAGCTTTGTTTTATAGACGGCTTTTTTAAGGTCCAGGGTTCTCAAAATTTTTAACAATCATGAGATGTTAACGTGAAAACATTAGAGAAAACAGAGGGATGAAGAAATTACCAGGAAGCTTTCACGCACCTCCAACGCACACATTCCAGCGGACTTCACGACTACGGTAAGATAGGTGATAAGGCGGCAAAATGAAACAACTTGGAGCTTGAAGTACAACAGATACAGGTTAAGGTGAGCTTTTTTAAAAAGTTGTTCTATATATCAAGGCTACCAGCGTTGTAAAAGGAAACCTAAAGTCAAATTGTTGGTGGTGGTTGTGTGACTCGTGTGTTGGATGCCGTTATTTTATGTTGTCTGTAACACGAATTTCAAATTATTTCTGAGAAGCTCAAAATGATTTCCCCAAAATAATTTTAACATAACATAATAGTTTGATGCGGGTAGTATTTTCCCCTTCAATCTTGAAAAATTCTGATCAAAGGCACATGACGAAAATCGTCGCTTTTTTCAACTACCTTCCGTGGTTGAACAACAGGTAGACATACGCTTTAGCGTTTTTATAATTACTGAGACTGTTGTAATGCTAAAAATATTATATATTTTGGTCAACGACTAGTTATACTTACAGTTTTAGCAACAAGCCTTTTTTCTAGCGCGGTTGTTTTGAAATGCAAGTCGAGCGAATCATGATGAATTTCAACCCTGTTTTCGGCTTGCGAAATCGACCGCAGGGACTTGAAACGGTTTTCTTGTTTTTCTCGGAAACGAACAGATCTTTCGAAGAAAAAACTACATGGCGTTTGTACACTTACTAAAGTCTATCAGTATGCCAAAGAAGAGCGATTTTTATTTTTTCAGCCTTGCCGCACTTTAGTCGATATTTGCATGGAGTTGCTCGTAATAGCTTTAACGTCTATTATGAGCCGGTTGACAAGTCCAATTTTTCATAGCTTTCCAATATTAGTGGGTTATACTCAAGCTAAGGCTGTACGAATAATGGTCGAAGATCATTTATTAGTGCGTACATTGCCAAAGGAACACGATCGAACAGATTTTTTGGGCTCTGGGCATAGAACTAAGAATTATTCTAAGAAGCTGATATATCATATAGAATACGACAAAAGTTTATTCCCCATCGGCGATCGATGTTTCCTGGAATCTATGTTAAACTTTAGTTGGTAAAAGGGTAGGCTATATACGAACTTAACCTCAAATATTTTTTCATGACAAGTTGAGATCAACATGAAAAGATTTTTTACCATGCGTGGAATTTAGTAAAGTTCAAAAGAGAAAAATATAATAGAGGCTCCTTGGTTTATTTAATTTTTGTGTAGAAAAACGCCAGCCCACGGAACAATTTTGCCCAGCATACCACTTGCTTTGAGGCAAGAGAAATAACTATATAATAGTGTGGAAAGGAGCGATGTAGCATGGCATGGTTCAAATAAACAGGAACAGACCAATTAGCATGTCCCTTGCATTTAGTTTAGATTCACTAAGGTTGGATTCGGCGTCTAACTGGCCATGGAAAGAGGGTTTTTAAGGATTCCATGCGCTTCTCAACGAAATCTTTACCGAATCGAACTGTTGTACTGGTGACCTTTGATTATATTCATGTTTCTTTTCTCTACGTTAGATGGCCATTCGAGTACTGTTCTTGGCAGCTAACCTACCTGTTCTTTTGGGGGGGTTGCTTTGGAAGTGGGAAGTTCCACGCAATGGCGAAGAGTTAACAAAGGGCCTCAAACTTTTGGGATTGAAGCCAGGTCCACTAGGCTACTTCAATTCCTTCTACATGGCCTTTACCAAAGCAGAAGCGGACAGATTTCCCAACCTGGTGTCCTACCACTCGATGTTGAGAAGGATGAAAATCTACAACATAACTCGGGAATCTCAAGTCCTTTTGCATTCAAACAGGAGCAGATTAAGGAGGGATGAGTCTAGTGACAGCGACTCGACGGACGGGTCGACGGGCCCCTCCTTCCCCGTTACTGAACCTAGAGGTCCTTGTGAGTCTAAAACAGAAGGGCTTTGTGACATTTGTCCAGCTACAACTAGACTTGGACCTGATAAGAGACCCGAGTTTATTAACGTGATGGTGTGTAGAGGGCAGCAGTCCTGTGGACAAGGTTCCGTGAGGGGCGAGTGCAAAAATTCTTCCGTGACTCAAACGTTCTTACAGAGAATAGGTGTGGATGAATGGGAAACTTACTTACAGGAAATTACTTTGTGCTGCGAATGTGCACTGTTCGGTTAATATGACGTAATTGTAAAAGAAATTTCATGATTCCTCAGCCTGTAAGCAAGTAATCGTTGACGAATAAAATTCCCAACCAGCGATGTCATGCAACATTCTATGCGTACCAAATTTTGACAGTTTTAGTCACGGCTAACGGTTAACCCTATTCAGATCTGGGAGGGGTCTTTTGAGTCACTCCCCTGCCCTTCGATAGAACGTTGATGACTTCAGTACTGTTTAAGCTATGACCACCAAACTTGGCGACTTTTACTAAAGTTATATGCCTTGGGAACATTTGAAAGTCGTCGTCATGTGTACGTGTAGGTCATTATTGACGTTACCATGGCATCCGAAAGTTTTGACAGCCATGCCTTTCACAATGTGCCTTTTTTTCCTACAAAAAGGCCTAATTTCATCGGCCTATGTCCGTGCTTCCCTTACTCTGCAAAGTTTTAGAGCGACAAGCGTTTAATGAATTATGTAATTATCTAACAGAGCGTGATCTCGATACTGAGAACCAATCCGGATTTCCTAAATACCATTCCTGCCAGTCATTATTGATCAAGGTAACTGATTTTCTACTAGGCAGCATCGATAGTGGAAAGATCGCTGCATGGTTTGTCTATGATATTTCTAAGGAAAGCCTTTGATCTTGTTGATCACCAAATACTCCTAGAAAAGGTAGAGTTATACGACCTCGGTACGACAGTGGTAGCCTGGTTTTAATCGAATCCTATCTCAGCGACAGATATTTTCAAGTCAAAATCGGTAAAGTTCTTTCCTCCAAAACGCCACTTCAATATGATCTAGAGTCCCCAAGGATCAGTACTAGGCCCCCTTATATTTATAATTTATATGAAAGATCTCCCCGCTTCACCTGAATGAAACGCACATTGATTTTTTTGCTGACAATGCTAAACAGTACTCTTCAGATATGACATTTCAAAACGTCGAAGAAAACCTAAACACTGACATTCAGCCTATAGTTGTTTGAAATGCTAAAAATAAAATGGTTCCAAAAAAAAAAGGCCATGATTGTGCAGTAATCAAGTAAAATGTCAAAGCTTCCAGATCATCTCAGTATCACCATTAATGAATCACAAATTGAAACAGTACCATCAGAGAAATTATTGGGTGTTCATATTGACCCAACGCCGAGCTGATCCACGCATATTAATTACATATGCAAAACGTTTTCCCAACGGCTGGGTATACTTCGACGCATTCGACACAACCTGACATATAATGCCCGCTTAGCCTTCTACAATTGCCTTCTACTGTCAGTAATGGATTATTGCTGTGTAGTGTGGGCCAATACATCAAAAGGAAATCTTGATAGGATTTCTCGCTGAGTGAAAAAAGCTGCCAGACTGATGTTAGATCGGGAATCCAAAGCTCCCTCGCTACCTTTGATTTCTGGAACTTGGATGGTTCCCAATTCATGACAGAATTAAACTTATGCATGCTACTATTGTCTTTAAAGAGCTTTAGATGGTCTATCGCCAAGTTATATATTAACTGACTTGACATTACCTTTCACTAAAAGTACATAACATCGATACGTGTGGAGCCAGGGGAAACTTGAAACTCCCGAAAGCCAACGCTAACTCCGACAAACGTACCTTTGCTTTCCTCGCTTCTAGTTAATGGAACTTGCTACCGGATAGTGTTAAAACCTCAACATCGCTTTCCTCGTTTAAAAGAAACTTTTCGAAGATGGCCTTCTCCAATCTCAAAGAAGTCTGACTCTTTTCTGTACAGACTCGTACATGATGTCTATAACTAGGGAATGTCATGTAGAGGCACCTCTTTTGTATTCTGGTGAATAGTCTTGTTGTTATTGTTGTTGATTTCTAGTTTTGCTTATTCATTTATAGCATTACACTTTATTTTGCAATATTTTATCAAATTCATTATAACTGTTAGTGTAATCCAGGCTTTTTACTGGGCGACTGATTTAAGAAAAAAAAACATTTATTTAAAATGACCCGAATGTCAGCCGCTGGCTTCAGTTTGTCGGAATTTCACAACTTGCACATTTTTTGCTTCATACGCATTCTTTTGAACAGGGACCAATTTTTCTATCACGATCACCTCCATTTCCTAGGGTTTTAATCAAAATTGAATAGAATTACATTTATACATAAAATGGCGGATCCCAGATGGTGGACGGTTCCAGATCCTTCTTTAGTAATAAATGACGTCATTATAACATCATTGCTCTTGCTAAAAGTCATCAATGTGTTAGTTAACTTCTGCATTCCAATTTCCCAATGTTGTTCATTCTGTTCAACACCTTACTATTTAAGTATTTATTACTATTCAACATCGATGGAATTTGGGTTCTTCAAATAAAATTAACATTATGACGTCAAAATGACCTGAAATTACATCACCGTGTCAATCAAGTTATGCTTAGAAGTTGGAAATGGAGGGTAATAAATATTCTGTGTAATTTTAGTGGCCGTATTATAAGCGGTTTTGAAGTTATAGAGGAAGAAAAAGACTTTTGAATCGTCTTTCCACGCACAGTTAGTTGCCGAATCCATACCCGTGGCGTTGAACTAATTCTGTTGCAATTAGCTTGATGCTGAACCTCAAAACTGCCTACTTGTAGATTGACTGGACTAAATTGCTATGACGCCTGTCAAACTTCAAATGTTTGGCGGCGTAACATGTCACGTTCACGTGAAAGTGGACCACTCGGGTCACGAAAACAGCAGACAAAAATAACCATCGCAGCACGCGCGCAAACTCCAAATAGATTTCAAATAATTATCATAGGGGCTAGCGATTCGCTCTCTTAGCTCGTTCTTTCTTGTAATTTGTAATTAACTCGAAGTCATTTTCATCAACTGTTATTGAACTCATCACTGAGTTTGCTTACTTCTTCTTCTTTGCCTCGTACATTTTTTTAATCCAATCTGGTATTTTCAGAAGATGGCAAAGTTGTTATTAGTCTCAGTCATTTATTTAAAAATATTAGGCGGATTAACTTCCGACTTAACCCTGGTTTTATATTATTTCTATTCTTTTTCGCGATTTAATTTCAAATAAATTATGATGTCTAGCTTCTGCTTTAGATGGTCAACCAAATTGTTGTCTAAGGTAACATTTATTTTTTTTGCTGTTGAATCATGAGATTTGTACACAAACACGAACTGGTCCAAGGACAAAAACCAAATTAACTGAACCTACATCAAACCTTGAGAAGATTACCAAACACCTTGGTTACGCATGGTGCTCCACGCGCTTAACTCATCCGTAAATGTTAATGTACGCCACCTTTATGCTCGCAAACGGTTTGCTTCCTCTGGCCCGAGCATCCCATGACGAGAAAATAAAGACCCCGACAGCTCTTCATTTGCTTTACCACAGGTTATTTTGCATTTATTAATTTCTTATAACAACCTGTCGAACCACACAAACAAAGGGGCAGCCATTAATCCAATTATGCCCATGTCGGGGCCTGTTGGTCTAGTGGTATGATTCTCGCTTCGGGTGCGAGAGGTCCCGGGTACGACTCCCAGGCCCTTTTTGACAAACATGTGAAATAAAAGACAAAACTTATCTCTTATTTTAACAGACCTAAAAGAAGAAGATTTGGCGGAGAACTCTGTGACAGTAGTTTGTTTTCATTTTTTAGTTTTGTCTTATTTATTTGTTTGTTGTTGTTTGTTTGTTTTTTTTGTTTTCAATCTCTCAGTAGTGAGACTTCGCTTTAACAACATAAATTTAAAGTGATTCAATAATTTTGTGTTGCTTAACTGATGCAGTAAACTGATTACTGAACCTCAGTAGCACCAATCCGTGATACAGAAAAAATACAGTTATAACGACGAGTGATGACTTATTATGATTTATGACTTATTATGATTTATGATTATGATTATAATTTTAAAAGAGTAAAAAAGCAAAAGAATTGTCAATAATTTTATGGAGAATCTCAATATCGGTCTTAGTACCCACACACAAGCTAAACGGGCGCACTATGAGATAAATCCCCAGCACATACCAGTATATCAATATCGGCATCCGCCGAAACCCGCTGAGTGGCATTTTTGCCATTATCTAGTTGACGATGGTCAACTATTTCTTCTTTACACAACGTGCTAATAAGCTGCAACGCCCATTGATGTCCCTTTTACTGTCGATTTCAGTACAGCTGAGGTCATCAGAATTGTTATCCCGCAAGCATCTTCCAAGTTCGGTCAAGGAATCATAGCTGTTTATGAATATTAGCCGCGGAAGATTTTAGCCAATAAGTGACGGAAAAACAATTTGAATGGACAATAGCAAGAGAGGATAGAATAGTTTTAACAATTATTGTGCGAGGTTGAGCAAGATATCCTGATTTGTCAGGGGCGAGCAAATAATTTTTTTGATGCAGAATTCTAGAACCCTGTTAATTTGACTACAACAAAAACTCAAAAATTCAGATGACTTCATTACGGATACGTTGTTACTCAGTAATAGAATGATAGCAACAATCTCGGCCGTACGTCACGTATCGTAATATAAGTCTTAAAAATTTAGGCCACGATTATCATGGTCTAATATCATGAGCAGTGTGTCTCAGTATTTTAGTTTTTGTTACTCAAGAAAATTAACTTAGAGTTTTACAGGCAGGGGTATTAGCTCAAATGGTAGAGCGCCCGCTTAGCATGCGGGAGGTACCGGGATCGATACCCGGATTCTCCAACCATCGTATATTTTTTACCAAGTAACAGCAAAAATGTTCTTCCGTCAGTGTAACTTTAAAACAACATTTTTTGACAGTTCTAAAACGTGGTATTTTAACGCATACCACGTTGATGTACGCTTCGGTTCATGTACGTAGGAAAAGACTCACATCCAAATGCCTATTAAGATCTTTCTGCGTTGTAATATCCCTAATATCATAATGCAAATTCCAATAACGAACTTGTCGATGAGTCACATTCATCATCATTTTCATCATCATCATCATCATCATCGTTATCATCATCATCATCGTCATCATCAGCCATTATTATTACCATCACGCATCCTCCTCGCAATAGTCTGTTATATGTTAACGTTTTTTACTTGAGGTCGCGTAAAGTTTCAACAAGACCTCCCCAAGCTAAACAATAGTGTCTCGTCGAAAACCAGGATAAATCTTACGCTTATCGCTGGGAGATGGCTTAAACTAATAAAAAAGGAGGGAAAATCAACTGAATTATCCCACTTAACTAACGTTAACGTTAATCAATTTCATTTTTATCCTTTACAGTAAAATACCAAAACATGAATAATTTAACCACGTTATACTTTTCTCAGGACAAAGAGCTACATAGAGCAAGATGATCAAGAAATTTATCGTGAATTCTAGTCCATAAGTTAAGTCCTAAAATCAAAAATCAAAGCTGAACCCCTTTTTTAGGTCTCTTTTGAAAACTATAAAAATATAACAACAATAACGACAAATCACAACACAACATAAAAACAAATTATCCGTGAACAAGCAAGCTTTCAAACAGACAGGCAAATAATGATTTTCCCGTTAATTTATACTGGTCTTTGGATTTTATAAGGTAAGTTATGCCGATCTGACTACCTAAACCGCCATGGGTGTAAAGTAAAAACGTTCCGCTGTTTGTACTCCTAAAGTCAGTCGACTCCCAATTCAGAACTGTTGCAAGTAAAAGGCTTCGAAAATCCTGGTTCTGTGGCTTTATATGGTCACTTTAAATGAAGCAATTCCG